AGTTTTATTTCTTTTGCGTGACTTCCTTCAGCCTTTGCTATCATCGTTCATTCCGAAACAACCTACAGCCAAGTTCATTTTCCGTCAATACTTGAACAAGCAATCAACATTAAAGTGACATCATGGCCTGCCCTCTGACTCAAGGTGTTCAAAGGCTATTTCCTGGTGACCTCTATACGGCTGCTAACGAAGAGCACACAAACCGAACAAATTCAACGTGGGGGTCTCCAAATGACATCCAACCCTTGTGCCTCTTGCTGAGGCAGAGGGGTCTCCCATGCAGATCCTGCATCAGAGGCTGCACAAACAGGTTTTTGCGCAAAGGAGAAAAGTTCTGCAGCTTGAGAGAATTTTCAAGCTTTTCCCACTTCAATTTTACTCATTTTAGTTTTGCTATTTTGCAAAAGAGCAAGCATCAAGGCCTGCGCTTCTGTAAATAAGTCATTATTTTATTTATCTCCCAATTCAGTAGGGTTTTTGGGTAACTTTCTTTAGGAGCAACAGTCTCAATCCTGGCTTCTCTCCCTACTGAAGCCATGAAAATATTTTGAGTATTCTGTTGCTTTTCTACTTCCATTTTTGTTAGGTATTTTTCAACCAATGATCCTAGAGACAAATGCAATGGTAACAGGGAAGGAGTACCAACAGTTTCTAATATATTAATACTGTTGAATAAATACTTGTTCTATCCCTAAAACCACTGCTTTTTAAAAATCACTGCTGTAAATTTAGGATGTTTTCAAAATACAACATAAAACTCAAATTTTAAACCTGCAACTGAAGTGATCACAACAAAACAGTCTGTATTTATCATTATTCACTAGAGTGATATTTAAGATCTCTGCTCTGCTCTATGCTCACAAGGTCAGAAAGACTCAAGACAGCCAAGTGTCAGCCTCTGCAGCTGCATTCTAATTCTATTCAGAAATCTTGTATATTGTGGATAAAGGTCATATTTCATCATTTTCACTACTAAAATTCCCTAGTTAAAAAAAATATCATATAATATTATATGTCATGCAGCATCCAGCCGTATTATTGTCCTGGTTTCGGCTGGAATAGAGTTAATTTTCTTCC